ATGGTGTATAATCTATAAAAAATATTGAATCACTGTGTTGTACACCTGAAACTAATACCATATTGTAAATCAACTGTACTTCAATTGAAAAAGAATTTAAAACTATCTTTCCATCAAAAGAAGAGCCAACACTAGGTCACAGATTGGGAAATGATATTTACAACAGGGAGTAGCATATAAATAAATATAAGTAACTTTAAAAAATCATAGACTACCCTAGCAGAAAATGTGCAAAGTTATGAGTTCTCAGAAAGGGAAAAAAACAAACAGGCAATAAACATAAAAATGTTCCACCTTGTTGATAGTCGGGAAAATGCAGTATCTGCTTATAAAGATGTGCACACCCTGTCATCTGGCAATTCTTACCTTGGGGCTATTGTCACATATTTACAAAAGCCATTTCCTAGAATCTCTAGAGCAGCATCATTTTAAGAGTAAAAACAGAAAAATAATTTAGACATCCAGTCACCCAAAGGATGGATATCTTGTGGGTTTTTATCCCCATACACTGAAAACTGGCAGTAAAAATTAATGAACTGTACCTAAAAACAGTATGAATGAATAGCATCAACATAATGTTGAGTGAAAAAGCATATTGCAGTTTACAGACAGTAGGGTACCATTTATAGAAACTTTAGGACATACAAAACAGCATTACATATTATTAAGCAGTAATACATATGTAGGGAAATGATAATGACATGTACAGGAATAAACACCCAATTTGGGACAGTGATTTCCGCTGGGAACCGGGGTCACGGTGGAGTAGTGAAGAGATGAGTGAAACTGGGGGGGGGGGGTCACACAGGGGCTCCATCAGTGTTACTAATGCCCTGTGACTCGAGTAGAGCCAAGAGCCAAGAGCCAACAGCATACAGGTGAACGTTCTTTACACCGTTTAAATATCTTGAATGTTTGAAGCTACATTTAAATGAATTCATCAAGTCATCACTGACTATTTGCTGTCTTGTGGGGAGGGACACAGGCTTGTGAAAAAATAATCTTGAAATAATATTTGATAATTGCTATTAGCACAAATGCTATGGGAGCATCAGAGACGTGATTAGTTAGCTATCTCTAGAGGAAGAGTGCACTGAAAAATTACCTTGGTTCTAGCTTTTTGAGTTGACCATGAAACTAATTTTTTCACTTTGTATTTTAAAATATATGTATACACAATAATATGATTTACCTTTAAGTGTCATCCTAACTTCATCTCTCAAATTTGAAGTATAGAAATGGCAATGTTAAGTTCTAAAATTGCATTGTGATTTCTCTTTAATGCATCGAGCTCCTTAGGAGTATATTTTTAAGGTTTCCAAGATTTCCTAATATTTTTAAATGTATAATTCCTTATATTTTAGTGAATCAAAAATAATGTTTTTTAACAAATATTTAATCACGATGTTGTATACCTGAAAGTAATATAATATTGTAAGTCAACTATGCTTCAGTAAAAAAATAAAGGAAGGTAGTATTTTATAATTAAAAAATAAAAAGGGCACGAAAAAATACTGTTTTTAAGATATTTTATGGACTTCTCTATTATTTTAAATTTATCTGGCGTAAGTTCATCTTGATTTAGTTGTCGTTGGTTTATATAGAGTTAGGTCTCTTTATCGACTTTGGAATTTTGGTTACAGGACCATTTTGAATGGGGGAGTCAGTTCTGTGCACAAATGAGGATGTGTGTACAGTCAGCCATTCCTGTTGTGCTGTTTTGCAGTTGCCTCTGCCTGGTTCCCGGGGCCCTTCAAATCCAAAATCAAGTACTGTCAGTGGTTCAGTGCTTCTCCCCCCGTGTTATTGGGTAAATCACAGATCTGGGCATTAAGGCAGAGAATGGAGATGGGAGAAATAGCAAAAGCAAGATCAAATCCCTGTCCTCCAGGGGTTCAGGCTGTGGGGAAACAGGCAGGTAACTGTGGAATGTGGAATGCGCTATTAGAGAAAGTTTGAGGATGCTATGAAGAGATGAGCACATACCTGAAATATTCCTGGTGTTAAGACTGGATTGTGGAATATGAAGGAGTTCTGAAGATGAAAGAGGAAAGGCATTCCAGACATGGAAGCAGGCATGAGAATATGATGCATTTGGAGGAGATAAAGGTCACCTAATGTGAGTGAAGTTCACGCTGTGAATAGGTAACAAGATTAAGCAGAAAAGGTGGGTTGGTTCAGCTCGGAGGTTCTTTTAAGTCATGTTAAAGAGTTTGCATTTGCAATAAAATTGGAAACTTCTTAAAAATATCTTTTGAGAATAACATTAGCATTGAATTTTAGAAAAATCAATTTGTCCCAAAGGTGATGCACTATAGCAAAAAGCCAGAGGCAGAGATATGTTTTTTTAAAAACATACACACACACTTACAGTTTTTAAAAAGTGGGCTTAAAGTGGTAGAGAAAAAGAAGGGCTTTTATTTGGGAGACATTTAGTAGATTGGGTGGAGGAAAATCTAGGATCAATATCAGATTTACAGCTTTGGAGGTTAGTTATAATTTCGAGTTGGGGAAAATGGGAGTGTAAAAAAAAAAAAGAGCTGTAGAGTGAAGGCTGGTACTGACGTGGAGTCTTATTTTGGGCATTTTGTGTTTGAGATGTCCGTGGAAATCAGAAATATTTGGGGAGGTTGGAAATATAGATATGAGTTTATAGACTTGAAAGTCGTCAGCATCTCAGAGATAACAGAAGAAATTGCTGCATAAGGTGTGGCTCAGGAGAGTGAGACAAGACAGGCAGATGATGGACTCAGCTGGCTGTTGGATTTGGTGGGGGGTCTGTTTCTTCCCCTTTCTCGGCATTTCCTTCCCTTTAGGGGAGGTGCCACCAGCACAGGCCGCCTAGTCTCCACGTCCTCATTCATTTTGTGCAGGTCCAGGGCTACACGACCAGGTTCCCCGATGTTAATTCATTAAGGTTAAATGAGGTCACAGGGTTGAGGTCCTAATCCAATAGGACTAGTGTCCTTATAAGAGAAAGAAATACGAGATCCCCCATCCCCACTCCCGCACAAAGAAACGCCATGTGAGCACAGAGGGAGAAGGGGACATAGGTAAGCCGCGGAGAGAGGCCCTCAGCAGACACCAGCTCTGCTGGCATTTTATCTTGGACTGCCAGCCTCGAGAACTGTAAGAAAATAAATGTCTCTGGTTTAGGCCATCCAGTCCGTGGCATTTTGTGTGGCAGCCCAGGCAGACTAACACAGCCATAATGTAAGGAACTTTTATCACAAGAAGCTTTATTACAAGGGGGAGGGGGGAAAAGGCTAAAAGAGGAGTTCTAGACTGAATCTCACCTCAGGAGGACTAGAATGCCTTTCGAAAAAAGCCTGCCTTCCTCCAGTCTCTCCACTCACTAGGTCAAAGGCTCTGACACTTCAACTTGCACAAGATTACCTGGGAGGATGGTCACTCAGTACATCTGGGGAGGGTCCTTAGGTCTGTATTTTTAACATGCACCCCAGGCAAAGGCACAGAACTGTCCTGAAGTACACTGGTAAGAGGCCAGCCAGCGCTGACATCCAGCCCACACGTGCCCTGCCGCTGGCTGGGGGAAAGTGTCATTTTCTCTGCACAAAGTCATCATCAACTCACCAAGCGACTTGCACCTACAGGGACTGGGACACCCAGAGGGCGCACCTCTCCTTTTTGTTTAGACATTGTGATTAGTGGAGTGCCCTTGACTCCAGCTAATTCTGATTCAGGTGATCTGGGACCCCATGTGCTCAAAGCCAGAACATTTATGTAGGCCCTGAAGATTCTCTAAGGAAAGAAATCTGTACGTTTTTGTAAGAACATGAAAGACTGACAGTCTAAGAGATAGATGAAGGTTTGCTAGATCAAATCTAGGCTGGAAAATTATAATGATGGCTTAGGCTATAGAACAAAATATGGACTGACAATATTTTTCCTTTGGTGTTAATCTCAGAAACCATGATGTGAAGGCAGCTATATCTGGGAACTGACACACTGTGGAAAATGCAGGGGAGGGTAGATAAATAACACTGCTTATTACAATGGTGGATTTTTGGATTTTTAACCAATGTGGGCCATCATTTTAATAAATGAGGTGGTAGATGACATTTATTTTTAATAGTGTAGAGAAATTTCCCCCAAACACAGATGCTCTCCGACCACTTGAGAGAGAATAAAAATTCACTATGAGAGAAAACTGAAACTTTCCCACACAAATTTAAATAAGAAGGTCCAGTAATGGAAAGCTGACTGACATGTTTTTGGGGAAACAATTCAGTTGGTAACATTTCTTCCATCAGGCTGTGCTTTCAGAATTTAATGAAGGGACCACCATGCTCTTGGATGACACTGAAAAAACCCACGAAATAACAGAACAGAATAAAATGCTCCTTCCATGATTGGCAAGACATGCCCATGAGATTATAGAGGGGAGAGGCCTCTTTGTCTTCTGCATGGATTATTTGGAACCTTGTTCAAGGAGCGGTCACAGCCTGCCCCCTGCGCATCTGGCCAGTGCTTCTGAAGCATGTTGGGTGAATTCTTTTTTTTTTCTTGGGGGGAATAGGTAATTAGATTTATTTATTATTTTATTTTTTCGTTGGAGGTACTGGGGATTGAACCCAGGACCTCATGCCTGCTAAGCTTGCACCCTGTCATTGAGCTGTACCCTACCTTGGGTGAATTCTCTCTCTGCCTCTGCCAGAGCCAGCAGAGCAGCTGCCGCCTCCTCAGAGCTGTCACTGCTTGCTCGCTGTGTGGTGTGACCTAGAGACCGCAGGGTTTTCCCCTGGCATGGACCGCAAGATGGGTGTTGAGGGCGCCCAGGTAGGTAAAGCTCCTCCCGCACTCAGCACAGGGAAAAGGCCTCTCCCCTTGGTGGTGACGCAGATGCGTCTTCAAACTCCTCTTCTGAAGGAAGCCTTTGTCGCACTCGGGACACCCGAAGGGCTTCTCTGCCCTGTGTGTGTGCAAGTGGACCTTCAGGCTGCCGCGGATGCAGTAGCTCTTACCGCAGTGCGGGCACTGGCAGGGCTTCTCGCCGCTGTGGACGCGGGCGTGCTCCCTGAGCCGGTACTGCTGCGTGAAGCTTTTGCCGCACTTGGCGCAGGAGAAGGGCTTGTCGCCACGGTGCTGGAGCAGGTGGCTCTTCAGGCTGCCTTTGAGGCGGAAACGCCTGTCGCACTCGGGACACGGGAAAGGTCTCTCCCCGCTGTGGATCCTGGCGTGCTCGGTGAGCTGGGACGGCTGGGCGAAGGCCTTGCCGCACTCCCCGCACGCGAACGGCAGCTCGCCCCGGTGCCGCCGC